CGGAATGGAGATTCTAGAGCATCCCACACTGACGTAGTCAGTTGAGCTTTGACAGAGGACCGAAGCCAGTTTAATCTCTTCAATACGTAATGCTGAGCTGATTGACTATCCACATGCAGTAAAAATAAAATTTGACCCACATGTCATATCATGTACAAAGATGAACTCAAAATGATCATAGTCTAAATACAAACTTAAAACTAGATAAATTTTAGAAGAAAGCTTTTAAAAATCTTTGTGACCGCAGATTATCAAAGATTTCTTAGATATCACATCAAAAGCCTATTTCATAAATGAGAAGAATTGTAACTTGAAGAATTATAAACTGAAAAACAAATTGAAAACTTTACAAATTAATAACTTTTCTTCTTTGAAAGACAGAATGAAAAGACAAACCATGGACTGAGAAACATATGTATAAACCATAAATCTTATGAAATCATTTGTCTCTAATAAGTAAAGAGCTCTCAAAACACAATTTTAAGGAAACAGCCAATTAAAAAATGGTCAAAAGATTTGAACAGGCCCTTCACCAAAGAATATAAACGTATAGCAAATAATCACACGAAACAGCCCTCAACTTCATCACTAGAGAAATGCAGATTTAAAGCACCAAGTACACCGAGTGCTGGTGAGGATCTGGGGCTCTGAGAGCTCTCATGCACAGCCAGGAGGACTGTAATGGTCAAACCACTTTGGAAGACAGTCTGGCCGTTTCTTACAAGGTGGAGTGTGTACCTACCTCATGACCCAGCTATCCCACTCCTAGGTACTTACCCAGTAGAGAGGGAAACACCTGTCCAAGGAAAGACTGGACGTGAAGATTTACAGCAGCTTTCCTTGTAATACCCGACAGTGAAAATAATTCAGAAGGCCTCCAGCAGGTGAATGACTCACCATGACGTCACACACGGGCTACTGCCCTACTGCTCAGCTACACAGACGGAGGAAGGATTTCTGTCTCGCACAACATGAGTGATCCACAAAATAATGCTGAGAGAAGGGCCGGGCAAAAGAGAGTGCATACCTTATGTAAACTTCTAAGAAAGGTGACTGAGAAGTAGTGACAGGAAGCAGGTGAGTGTTTGCTTGGGGCTGAGATAGCGGAAGAGGAAAGGGGTCCAGGGACACCCGTGGGATGATGCTGTGTCCATCGCCTGGGCTGTGGTCAGTCTAGACAGGCTTGTCAAGTTGCTGAAGTAGTAGTGTGGGTGTTCTTATCCAGGTGAGTGCCTCTCTTTGTGTTTCTGTTTTCCATTTGAGCTACTCTTCGATGCCGGTGTACAGTTGAAATCCTTTTAATTTAATGAGCAATTCAGTCCTTGTAATGAATGTGGAAGCTTTCAGTTATGTTTGTGCATGAATGTTTCTGTGTTTCCATGACATAGAATATTTCTGTGTCAATTTGAAGAGACTGAGCTATTTTCTTTTAGTTCTATACGATGCAAAGATACCCTATAGTGTCCCTTGAATAAAAGCAAAACCTGCTGTCATTGTGAAAGTGATTTTTTTGTATAAGTCAGTTCAGTACAATTGAGTTGTCTATAGCAACTTAAGTGACCTGACCAGCAGTTTAGAAACAGAACAAAGACTTGTTCAAGCTGACCCTGGGCGACCACTTGATTGGGGTGTTGCACGTGAGATTTATCTTAAGGACAGATGGCTAAAAGAGACAAGCATCCCTCTCAACGCCACGATTCTGACTCTGCTTTGTGCATGGTCTTCTTTTTCACAAGAATAGGCAAATATTCCTGATCGGATCTGTTAAATGATACGTCTGCGTCAAGACCCCTAACGTTACGAAACCATTCATTACTTTATGTCTGCTGTAGGCTTGTCTCTTTTACTGGCTATGAGCTCTTGGTGGGGGGGTGAGGTAATTAAGTTTACTTACTGAGGAGGTACTGGGGATTGAGCCCCGGACTCACACGTGCTCTGCCGCTGGAGCGGTGCCCTCCCCGTGGGAGCTGTTACTGGGAACCTTTTGTTGCTGCTGCTTCCCCCTCGTGAGAGTGCTTTGCACTTACCGGTGTCTGGGCGGTTTGTCATAACAATGCCAGGAACGGTCGTCGGGCATCGGCTGAGTGTCCTCCCTCTGCCTCACCTGCGTCAGTCCTCACGGCCACCTGCGGCACTCGTGTGTTCTCCTGACCTTGCTCAGGGGTTCAACACGTAAGGGGTGAAATATGGCAAAACCTGGGCTGGGTTTGAAGCCCATTTGGCTCCTTCTAACTGCTGCCCTGGGCTGTGGTGACAGATGAAATACCGCCGGGGAGACGTGCGTGCATTCAGTAAACGTCACTGCAGTTGCGGACAAGGGCGTATATAACGGGCTTAGAGAATGTAGGGCAGGTTTCTAACTGTTCTAATTTTCACAGCAGACGTAGCTTTGTTGTTAGCAGAACTGATGTAGAGTAATTTTAAACCAAGATGTTTCATCCCTTATCTTCTCTGTGATAGTCTACTTACAAAACTATTACAAAGACATGGAAAATAAGAAGTAAAAAGTGGAATAATGAACATATATGTAAAATGAATCCATCCTGTATGTAAAATCTCTCAGGAAAATGTCTCTTGACAAGAGTATTTCTATATGTCTACATGTTTTAGGGGAAGAGGTGGTGAGGTTTTCTCTGGTCCATAGGTGTGAGCCGTACATACACCATTTTAAGTTGCCTGGTAACCATATTAAAAAAAGGAAAAAGTAACAGGTGAAATTATTTTTTATAAATGATTTAACCAAGTACATCCAAATTATTATCTTTTCCAGATGAAGTCAGTATAAGTCAATGGAACATTATTATCAACATTGTATTCTTTGTTTCGGGATTTTGAAGTCTGATGTTGTGTTTCACACTTGTAGCACATCTCAAAACAGAGGCCAAATTTTTATCTGAACTCCATGATGCGTATTTAGACTTGATAAGATTTGCATGTTGAAAGTTAGATTCTCATTCCCAAGCTGTTCCAAACTTAAACATTTTTTCAGCAAGTGAATCCAGAGTCAGTTTTCAAATTTAAACTTACATTAGTTACAATTAAACCACCCCGTCTCAGGTCCTCAACAGCCAGTGTACGAGTGGAATTAAAAACAGGTCAGATGGGATTTCTTTGACCGTGCGAAGGAGAGAAAAGTGTTAGTCAGAGG